CCGGGGGTAGGGTGGGGCCACAATGGCCAATCAAAGTTTCATATAGGAGTATAAATCTTTAAAAATCTTCTTATCAAGAACCACTTGGCCAGGAAAGACGAAACTCATGTGGAAGCATCCTCAGGTAGTGTAGATTTAAGTTTGTTCAAATCATGACCCTGGGGGGTAGGGTGGGGCCACAATGGCCGATCAAAATTTTACGTTCAAATATATATTTTAAAAAATCTTCTCAAGAATAGCAAAGCCATGATTAGTGATACTAGTATTTAAATGGAAGCATTTTTGGGTAGTGTAGAATTAAGTTTGTTCAAATCCTGATTTAAATTTATTCAATTCATGGCCCCTTAGGGTAGGGAGGGAAACAATGGGGAATCAAATTCAAATTTTTATGAAGTTATATATAGGAAGGAAATGTTTTGAAAAAATCCTTTTATCAAGAACAGCAGAGTAATATGCTGTACTAATATGACAGCATTCTCAAGTAGTATTAAATTCAAGCCCCCCTCTTTCAGTAAACTTTTCAGTTCTGATCTGATTTGTGCTTTTTCCTAGCCGATTTGCTCAGGTGAGCGATGTGGCCCCTGGGCCTCTTGTTTGAAATCTTCGGTCATCCAACATTTATATGAAATTGATACAATGATAACTTCTTCGACTTTTCTGCACATACATACACTTAAGAGGAAGAAGTGAGGCAATATTTTTGTGTTGGGGCCAACAAAAATAATTTTTACTTATATTTTTCTTCATGAAATAATTTATTTTAGGTTCTAAGTCCTGTCAAGAATGCTTTATGAGTTGTTGCTAACTACATCATTAATTGATCATTTTATTTTCCTTCCCTTTGAGCATCATGTCTTCATCTTTTAATTTATTTTGTTTTATTATATAAATATTAAATTGACATTCCATGGGTTCTTTACAGGATTGTAAGATATTGATTGAACTTGTAGGCCACGGGGCCTCTTGTGGTTATGGATATACCGATATAACAAATATACCAGTATTATAAAGATGGTACTGTCATTTATTTCAGGTTGTTCTTGAGACAGAAATTACAAACAAGGCAGCGTTGAGATTGTATGAAAATCTGGGCTTTGTGAGAGATAAACGATTGTTTAGATACTATCTCAATGGAGTTGATGCTCTACGGTTAAAACTGTGGTTAAGGTGAAATTCATTTTAAAGTGTTGGGGATGTACATATAAAACCATCAAATTAAACTCCAAAAACAATTAATGATTTATTCCCTCAGTGTTATTTGAACTGTTTTAATAAGAGGATTGCATTATGTGAGCCATTTTGTTGCGAAGATGTATACTCGTTTTAATGATACTGTGTGAGAAATAAAATGTCAGTGATTTTCTTGAAGTAAAATAAACATTGGAGTGGTTATTAAAATTATATTTGACTTGTTGTCAATATGTTCATTCAATACTAAGGTAGATAAAATATTCAAATGAAGTTGTGTATATTGCTGGTCCAAATTTTCATAAAGAATTTGTGATTATGACAAAAATTTACATCTGCATTTTACATGTATTTTATTCTTTACAAAAAGGACTATATTTTGTAATGACAAAATCTGTCCCTCCAAATCAAAGATTAATTTGGCAATCTGTGTTGTAAGGCAGGAGGATAAAATGCAGACTTCAAGGCTTGGGGACATTTTCATTGGCTGTGACATTGTAAGATAGATATGTCATCAGAAAATGACATTTATTCAACATTTAAATAATCAAAAAAAAAATTCAGTGTATCCTGCACTGATATCAATTTGACTAGAAATCTGCTTCAATTTCATTTTTTGTATAATGTGTTTGTAGAATGATCATAACTATGAAATATGAAAATAAATCTGAAAAGGCTAGTTTGAACAAAGTCAAAAAATAACAAAATTTCTGTACTTTTCTCTCTTTAAAAAAAAAAAAAAAAAAAAAACTGGTGAAATTAATAGATTGTGACATCTCAGATATGAAAATGGCTATTTTTTTTCCTTAGTAATTTTGTAAGTTTAGCTTTATTTTATGAAGCTTTATATGAAGTCTTTACAATTATGCACATATCAAAAAATTAAAAATCAGAGTTTAATGGGGACAGGGATAGAAAATGGGATAGGATAGATATTATAAATTTCTTTTTGTGATTGTAATGTAGATAAAATAGTTTGTTGTATTAAACTGGAATAAACTAAAGTTATACATGTACATCATACATGTATCATGATGCATGTAGTACTACATAATATATGTATCATGACTAAGCACCTTACCAACCACTGATTAAAAGGCTCAGTCAATGGTAAAGTTCTAATTTATTGGAACTCTAGTGCTATACCTCTTATCTACTAATGCAATTCATTTCTTTGTGAGGTTACATTTTTGCTCACCTGACCCAAAAGGCTAAAGTGAGCTTTTCTAAACAAAAATTATACATTGCTATTTTTGGCACCATAAGCTTTTCCACAACAACTGATCCAGTTTTAAAAACTATTAAGCTTATAGAATCCTTTAAGTAAAGGGGTTTGAATGCTCTCCTCCGAAAAGAAATGAGTAAATATTTCATGGCTTCTATTAAAACTCTCAAAAAGAAATAGACCAAATAAGATGAACCTATGATGAATGCTTCATTACATAATAAAGATTAAACTTCGTTCAAGTCATTATCCCTAGGGATATGCAAGGCTATCAGAAGATAAGAATTCATATGAAAAATCGTCTTGGCAATCACTGGGCCAGAAAAAGTTGTTTTTTTTAAAAGATGTTAATGTTTCATTATTTTATAGTTAGATTCAAGGCTGTTCAAATCATGACCCATTGGAGGTGGGATAGGGTCTCAATGAGTAATCAAAATTTTACATAGGAAGAAAGAGTTAAGCTTGTCAGATGATGTATAATCAATTTTGTTCTAACCCTGATCTTTAGGGATAGAAGGTTTCTTGAATTTGGGCAAATTATTGGATGGTAAGAAAACACAATGTTGAACACATAATTTGTTGTGTTTACTCTTCAGGGTTCTTATTGATATATACATGTATATACTCATGTTACTATGACGAACCAGTTGATTAAAGGAAACTTGAAAATGGATGTGGATGTCACCATCCATGAATCCATGAATATTAAATCATGTTGGAAACCAGATATCTCTGTGGATACTTGCTCTGCTAGTTTGTACTTGTAATAAAATATGGAGATAATGAGCGGTATTCAAGGTCAAAAGTCCATTCAAACAAATAAATCAGAAGAGCAAACACGGACCTCGAAAACATCAGAAGTGGGTCAAGTGCCATGGAGGAGTGAAAATCCCCAGTCGATCGGTCACAGTCGCCCGCTGCTCTTTGTCATGACCAGAGAATAACCGGTTTTAACGGAAAATCCGTCGACATGTTCAGAGTGTAAATTGAATTGTCTAACAATAAGTACAAAAAACTTCAGTCACCATTTGACTTAATGATGGATTGTATTATTTTGCTGACAAATTGACAATGTCATTATAACGACAATAGAATTTAAGAAATACCAAATGAATTTAAATAAGACTTTTGATATTCTGGTTTTATCAACTTGTTTGTCAATAACTTACTTCGTTTTAGAAATTGTTCACAGTTAGAGCATGTTCTCGCTTATTGAATCAACTCCATATATGGGTGATAAGGGTAAATTGCTGCATAAGTAAGGAAAATTGACAATCTCTAACCAGATTTATCGTTCCATTGATACTAAATGTTGAAGTGAAGTGTAGTATGCCCTCTGGTGAGAGATTGGACGATTATTGTTAGAATCTTCACATTTATCATTTTAAAAGCTTTGTTGTTAGATTACCATTATAAGAGTATCATTATAGTCTATCCAAATATAATACAAATTTGTCAGACTACGTTGTGTCTTTTATTTCAAGTACACTAGGATATGTCGTGTCGACATATGAATGGAAATAACAATTAATTGATAATCCGTTGTCGATATATCCAAATACCGAGTTGAACGCCACTGCAGGTGTTTTGTCCTCATGTATATTTAAGAATTTGAACAAATTCTGTTTTTATGAATACGAAGGTCTGGTGATTGGCGCAATTGGTTTCCAAAGAAAGAGTAAAGTAGCATTTGACCTTGAAACTTTGCAACAGCAATAAATAGAATAATAACCCTTGATTTAATTGCTTTTTGAGGACAAGATTGCATTAAGACTAAAACAGCAGGAGGACTATCTTTTTATAAAAATTTTACAGAAAGTTCAATTTTATTTACTATGGCAACATATCATTCATCAACATATAAAAAAGACAATTATGTATCTTAGTCAACTTGCATGCCACGTTATATTAAATCAGACCAATATGTAGGAGGAGTAGCATTTTGAAATTACATGTATTTTACAGAATTTTCAATTTTTAGTAACCATTGCAAAACTGTTCATCGAAATAAAAAACCAATTAAAAAGTATGTATCTTAGCGTAGTCTACATACGTATGTGCCCAGTTACTAAGTATATTGAAATCAAACCAACGCTGTAGGAGGAGTTACGTTTTAACAAATTATTTACAGACAGACGGAGAGACAACGGGCACCTTACTATCGTGTAAGCTCTTCTGATCCTGACCAGTATAGCTAAAAAATATAGTCACAAAAAGTCACGGTTATATATCCATTGTCACCTTTTGTTCGAAATCGTATTTTAAGTTGATATCGATAATTTTTTTTTAAATAAACTCTTCCTTTTCAATAATGAACGGAACCATAAGTTTTTTTTCATCATATCGTTTGTATGCAAAGTGACATTTCATCACTTGAATCACAATTACAAATTATATGTTTCCTTTTTATTAATATTTTTCCTGTGAAAATCGCCGTTTGCAATGATTTCAATAAGTGTATTATTTCAATTAAAATTTGGGTCAATGTTTAAATTATTAGGAATATTGAAATAATTTATTGTAAAAGTACAAGAACAAATGACCAGCAACTCTTTCCAGAACAACAATAGCATGAGTGGTAGGTTCATCAACCTGGACAAAGAAATTGAATTTCATTAATGAAAGAATATCAAATCAATTGTCATCATTGCTACACTGACAATTAGAAAAATAGATTTTTACCTGCATAAGTAGCACCTCCCAGGGGATAGTAGCCGGCGGAAGACCCGGTTCCGAATGAACCAATGGAACCAATGGCAGAGGCTAAAGATGTGCCTCCCAAGGCGGCAACGTTACCTCCTGCTGCTGCCGGAACTGCCGCGGGAACGGCTGCTCCTGCTGCGGCGATCCCACCGGAAGCCAAACCACCTGCAGCGTAGGTAGGATAACTAGCACCGGCATAATAACTACCGCTGTACGAGGGGTAGCCACCAGAGTAATATCCCCCACTGTACGCGGGATATCCGCCGCTGTAGTATCCTCCGGCGTAGGAAGGATATCCACTGTAATATCCTCCATAAGAGGCACTGGGATAGGATGATGCGTAAGATACGCTGGGATAGGATGATGCATAAGATACGCTAGGATAGGATGATACGCTAGGATAGGATGATGCATATCCTCCGTAATATCCACCTAGACCGCTTCCGTATCCCCATCCTCCGTATCCCATACCGCCTCCGTATCCCCAGCCGCCGTATCCCATACCACCGCCTCCGTATCCCCAGCCTCCCATGCCACCTCCATATCCCCATCCTCCCATGTTGCCCATGCCACCCATCCCACCATACCAGTATCCTCCGCCGCCTTTGCCTTTGCCATATCCTTTGAACACTGAAAGTATGTCACCGAAATGCTGATGATTATTAACTCGCACGAATATCGTAGCTTGTAAAAATAACACAAAATTAATTTTTTTTTTAGAACTCTATCTGCTTAAATTTCAAAAAGATAATAGAGCAAAAGACAGTTATATCCAGGGGTCCTCACCCACCCCCAACCCAGCTAGCACCACTTTTTGTGGCTGTACGGTCAACAGTGGCAAACTCCAGCGTTGAACAGAAAAATTGTACTGAAAGTTTGATAAAGATTCACCCCGACCTCAATTACCCCCTTGATATTGTTCGTATTTTGTTTAACTCATGCCTGCCTTTTTTTTTTTAATCAAACACTTACTACGCCTTGGTGCGGGGCGTCTTTTATAACCACCGGCCTCGACAGAAGCTAAGATCCCCAACACTAACAGCACGAACAGGAACTTCATTTTCACCTGAAAGTTCAGAATATAGAATTATTATTTTTTTTCTTATAATTTTTTTTGAATTCTAAAAAATCGTATAGGGAAAGATCATTTTTTAAAACTCTTTTTGTGAGAATCGGATTGAAATTTGCAATCTCGTTTGGGTTGTAAAACAAGTTTTTAAAGAATTAATTGTATATATGATAATTAAGTGCATCAATTGATATTGAACTTTAATTCTTACGGAAACCGCGAACTATTGTAAATAAATCGGAAACCCGCGTGGCGCAGTAGTTAAAGGGTTTGCTTTAGAATCGCAGAGTAAGGAGAGGATCCTTTCGTCTCGGATGCAATCATTGCTGTGTAACATAGATACATTTATACTAGTTCTTTGGATTGGGCTGAATAAATCGAGATCCCGTATTGTAGTAGGTGCTTGCACGAGAAAAAAAATCCAGCACAGGTCGTAAGATTCGAGTATGGTTCTAAAATTGCAGCCCTCCACTGACAAGTAGTAGCGTCTGAATATGAGTTTAAAAATTATCGACGAAACGTTCAACAAACAAACAAAGGAAACAGATCCAAATAATTATTTCAGTATTGAAGAAAAATTACTTTTCATTGATTTCCTTCATATCTTAAATACGACAATTATTACAAAATTAGCCTCTTTTCATCTTTGCGTCTCAAAATGTTTTTTTTAAGAAATTATACTAGTATAAATCATATAACAATGATTATTATTTAAGCCAGTATCCTACCCTCGTGCAGGCTTGTGGTCCTAAAAAGAAAAAGTCAACTCCTGTACACGCGGACATTAAACATTTGCTTCTTATAGGACACGTAATACCACGTGGAGATACCCACGATTTTGATTGGTCATGTCGTAATAAATGTGTTCGATAAGAAAGTTCTGTATAATTGCGGCTATTTGATCGATGGTTTGTTGTATGTTACGTGATGTTTTGTCAACAACGTGTATTGGTCAAGGTACGTACTGGTTAGAAAGACAACCCGGACTGAGTAAGGACCGGGAAATAAACGGCGACACAGACATCGGTCTATATTTAACACATACATTTTTAAATCATTATTTTCTAGTTGCTTTTAAAATATCTGCAGCTAAGACTTTCTTTTTTCATATTTGTGATTTTTTTTCCAAATTTGAAAACTTAAATTAAATGAAATTGACTTAAGAAATACACTATGATTTTTTTTTTTTTTTTTTTTTTTGATTTTCGTGTCCGTCAAACACGGAAGCTAGAAAAAACGAGACTATCGAACGTTATTGCGTTTCATTGTTGTAAGAAGATCCTGATAATTATGTCAATTAGTTGATTTCCTTTTCAAATTTAATGCTTGCTGGCGTGTTTTACAGCTCAAAACTTAAAGTGATAGATAAATGTGGGTTGTATTGGCCTGATCCTGATCTTTCTAATAAATAAAGGTAAATTTTGTTTTCAACAGAATGGACTTGCTGCCAGAGCACCTTGCCGTGTAATAAACGTGTATCTTTCTAATTACTGCTATATATATGCATCACCGTATGACATTGCCTATGACCAAAGTCCCCACAGGTGACATTCCATGTATTTGTAAATAAAGAGTTTGAAATTTAGTTATGTTCACCATCTATTACATTATAGATTGGCATAACTTATTCACATTTCTTAAGTAATGTAGCTATCATTTTTGCATATTCATGATTTTACATATTTTGGACCAATACATGTGTCCATACAGAGGTCATTGTCTATTTAGTGACCTTACATCCAGGTAACCTCTCGCGTCATCTGATGATTTGTCCTGTGTTTGCCCCAGAGAATAACTGTACATGATTTTATTTTATCTCAGGTAATAGTGTTGATTATGTATTTGAGCTAATTATTTCCTGTTGGACCGTTAATAAGTATATTAGGCAGATTAGCCTTCTTTATTAATGAAACAGTTGATATTTTATGCTGATGGTATAGGCCCTACTTTATTCCGTTTGAATCTTCAACGAATTTTCGCACATTAAGCCTTTTTTCCTAGCATTGTAAAAAGCGGAAACTCCATATACATGTATATGTAAATTATTTCTTTATATATTTTCTCATTTTTTAAATGCTTTTATTGGGTACAAATTTGAATATTTCATGACCATTTCTAAGACTTAAAGAACCTTAAATGAATGATTATATTTTATAAAGCATCAAGTTTCAGGCCTTTTAACATCCAAAGTCAGTTAAAGTGCCCCAAACAGTTTCAAAAAACGGCTGAAGATTTTCAACTCAGAAAACAAAGGAAATGTTTTGATTTTGATAGTACAATATTCGAATGATCAGAAAACACATATGATAGCTCTTGAAAGGGGGTATTATATTCTGCACACATATGGAACAAATACAATGTAATTTTAGCAGTGAATTACGTTATTTCTTAAGGTGTTATCAAAAAAATTAAATACATTATTATTGTAGATTCAAAATGGTGTTTCAAGTAGTTGTATTTGATAGAGTTATATATAACTATCCAATTAAAAACCGCAGTGTAATTGAAAATTTACCATATATTCAAAAATATTCCATATTTACACATAGTTAATGTACGAAAAATTAATAATATGGATTTTGAGAAAATGACATCTTATTTTTTCTTTGTTTAAACTCGCACACTCAGATTAACAAAGAAGTTTGTATGTGTTTGCAGATGTATACCTTTTATATAAAGACTCTCAAGTTTTTACATTTTGGAATTCAAAGTAAACGTTTATTTTGAGACAGGAGCAAACTGTCTTCTTTGTAACGTAATTCACATTCATCCTTAAAATGAAAACTAATGATTATTATTGGTTGAACAACACCGTTTTTACAAATTAGAATACAGAAAATGATTATAAATATTGCAATATCTTTGCAATAGACATCATAATTATATATATCTAGATTGTTATCATTGTAAAACATCCTATTTCACACACCTTGGTATTTTTCAGATAAAATCAAAAGCTGTATATTCTGAAAGTGCCGAATTACTACGGTACATGTACCTATTACAGATGATTTAAACATTATATCTACACGATTTCTGGCGTTGCACTTAAATTTGGTGGGATTAAGCATCAAATTATATTTCAAAATCAATCTGCATTATAAAACAAACAATGTAACGTAATTCACATACCAGATTGTAAGTGTCAATATGGAAATAAATGTTTAAAGTAAGGAGAATTTTCTTATTTAAGTGTGTTCTATTTAGTTCTTTAAACAAATTTTGGACCTTTTCTAGACCCTTAAACTTAATTTTACACGTTAGACCTCTTTTTCCAGGTAGTTATCTCCTTCTTTGGCCTTTACCTACCACCGACATTTCTTTTGGGGCTCAGCATTAATCATTTTAGTCATTATCTAAGATTAAAACTGTAATGTGTGAATTACGTTACACTGTTGTGGATTACGTTACACTATTATACAACAGACCTTGCCTGATATAAACACCGAGCGAATCAATGTTTTATATTTATGATATCTTAGTAGAACATATATCCTTCATTTTCAAAACGATATTCCTATAACACTATGAACGATGAAATATTTTTATTTATTTAAAAATAAAATTTTCAGTTTTATGATAGTTTTTAAACCGCTGCATTAGTTAAACCCGTTCCCGCCTGTAAACTTCCTTTCTATAGGTTCCTATATGATAAGTGATGACATTGAATAAAGATTCATGGTAATTTTGCTCCTAGTTAGGTTTCTTTTATAACAAAAAGAAAATTGATCATAACGTAATTCACTGTAACGTAGTTCACGAACTTCGACTTTAATTCAAATATTTAACTAATGATAACAGTTTAAGGCATTGTCTATGTGTGATTTATAATGGGCATAAGTGTGTATATCAGTCAGGAGATTTGATGTTCGTAGCATTTAGGAATTGTGTGTAAGATCGTAACGTAATTCACAATTAAATGCGAAAATGGAAAATTTTCAAAATTCGTGAATTTTTTGACACAGATGTTATCATATGCCTGTAAATCATTATTTATTTTTAATTTTGATAAGTTAATAATCAATTTTATCCATGTAACGTAACCGTTAATGCCACTTACAATTTCGTTAAAGCAGTGAGAAAATCGTAACGTAATTCACTGCATTAGATGGGACATTCAAATTACGCAGTGCAAATTTTTTTTTTGGCTATCGCAGAGAAATTATAAGTAAAAATGAGTTGTTTAACCCTTTATTGTTATGATATACAATATTTAGCATTTTTGTTGGTAATCCTAAATTATTTTTTCAAACCTGAATAAAACCACCCTTGTTTGTGACACCCTGTTTTGATCAAATTAGGCTTAGAAATCCTGTGCTTTTGAATAGTAAACGGGATCAATACATCGTAATATCTATATTTTTAAATTGATCATAACTTAACATCACATTTCAACCCCTAAACAACTGAAGATGCGGGTTTTTGTCTTCAAAAACTGTTTGTGACATCGAAAACTAGTTTTGGGGCACTTTAACTGACTTTGGATGTTTAAACCTCAGAGGTTAGATCAGTGCTTGCCAATTCGGCGTAAAACTAGTATAATAATCAATCCATTTTCATGGTTTTCACCACAATGTGGGCCGAAAGATATATTTTTACCTTTTCAACCCCATTTTGCTATTCTTGACACCAATAAATAAAAAAGACGATAGGATAACAATATTTATATATTTAACAACAAATATAGTAAAGGTAAGTCTTCTGAAATATTCATGGGTAACACAATTATAAACAAGACCCCTGACTGGCACCCGCAATTGAAGGTGGAACAGCACAAGCTGAAAATTAAAAAAAATTAATGATTTAAAAACGAAATCCAAACTTTAATCACAGGCACCTGAAGTATGGACCGAATACCCCCCCCCCTTTTTTATGAAAAAAAATGTAAGAGTGTATTATACCTCGAAAATATAAAATTTCCCTGTCAAACACATCTATATGTCGTTATATGCAAGCAGATTGCACTTTTTCTCACGTTTAAAGAAGGCCCTATTCGGTATACTAGTAATAAAACACGTGTATTTTTATTATACCGAATAGGGCCATTCTTTAAACGTGAGAAAAAGTGCAATCTGATTGCATATAACGACATATAGATGTGTTTGACGGGGAAATTTTATATTTTCGAGGTATTAAACACTCTTACATTTTTTTTTCATTAAAAAAAAGGGGGGGGGGGTATTCGATCCATACTTCAGGTGCCTGTGCTTTAATGTGTTTGCGCTCCAAAGTCATGTCATTTCCTTTTAAATTGACGTTTTTCTTTTTAAATTCACAGTACATTTGATAAAGTTGAAAAATTACCTCGAGTGTGCGATTTATGGATATCAGCAGACGAATTTTGTTAAAAAGTGCTCAAACTATCCTTCTTCGTCTCATTAAATCTGAAATTAAAAAAAGACAAATTATAAATAGAACGTGCAATGATGTAAGCGATATTAGGACTTTATAGGTGAACTTACATGCTGGTAATCGATTGCGAGGTACCCGGCTGACGGGCATCAAGACCCCGCTCCTTGACGAATCTCTGTCTCCGTTATCTCGGTCAGATTCCCCCTCCTGCATCATCATGCGTCCATTTCCAATCAACATCATCCTACCATCGCTGCTCATCATCATTCTCCTGTTTCCACTCATCATGCCACTTTCCCTCATCATTCCTGAATTCATTACTCTCCTGTTTTCATTCATCATTCCACTATTCATCATGTCGCGATTTCTGCTCATCATTCCACCGTTTCCTCTGTTCATCATCATTCCATTTCCACTCATCATCATTCCGTTTCCATTCATCACTCCGCCATTTCCTCCATTCATCATACCACCGTTTCCACCGTTCATCATTCTACCATTTCCTCTATTCATCATCATGCCATTTCCATTCCTCATAGCACTTTCACTAACCATCACAGCATCATTTCCACCCACATTTCCTCTCATCATTCCCTCTCCAGTCATAATCATCATCATTCCATTGCCACTTGACATCCTGCTCCTCCCATTTGATGACATACCATTGTTTCCATTCATTGGCATCATCATGCTATTCCCATTTCCCATTCCATACATTGGCCACCCCATATTCATTCCATTCGAACTTGTCATTTGAGGTGATCCGAGCGGCGTTATCATGGCCACCGTCTGGGGTCGTCCTACTGGTCTCATGGGCATCATCATGCTCGGTGATCCCCCGCCGTTCATCGGCATCATCATGATGGGACCGTTTATGGCATTCCTGTTGTTGTTCATTTCGTTCACTCCAAATCCCATTAAAAGACCACCAGCCAAAGTGCCAATTAATGGAATAAGAGCTTCGAACTGAGCGTTGACGCCATGGACCGCGAGCAAGAAGACAAATCCCAGCAGTATTCTGTTCATCTGAAAAGATCAGTGATCTAAACTTTATTAACATTAAATTCTCTTAGTGGTCGATATTTATAGTTTAATTCCACATTAGAGTTTATGAAAATAAATATTTGACTTAAATGTGACACATTTATAGGGAATAGCATTTATTCTTTTTAAGGGATTTAATTTGAAAGCTTCAATTAAAGAATTTCCATGAATATATACATATATCAAACGTACATTTTATCCGCAAATATTTGTTTTATGTAATTAACTCAGATCTGAGATTTTTTTCACAGTAAACCAATTGTAAGGGGACCGACAGGGGTTGGTGCATAGAGACCAAAACCCCCGGAGACACATTATGAACGTATGCATATCATCAAATATTTGCAGATTTCATGCCCAATACTGGTACTAGTACATGAAAAAGGTGAAGCTTACGAACAGCTGTCGAAATCAAAATGCCTAGAACCAATAAACTGTTTAACTATTGGAATAAGATAAGTTGGTCAAGGAAAGATCCTACGAGAAGTTGTAATTGCTAACATGGTTATAATGACCGCCATATAATTTACAAAATACTGACTTTAAACAAGGTCGTTCAAATCCCAGTAACATTAGTTTATTTGTAAGTAGCCTAAGTATAAAAATTGACCAAACTCAAAAACTCCTCTTGAGTATGAAGCAGTTTACCACCTTACCTTAAACTTTGCTATATTTCTCCCTGACTATAAAACAGTCGATTTTACAAATTATTTATAATGACAATCATGTGACGTAGCCTATATATCCTTAACAAAATCATTTGAAATTTATAAAACTAAAAATCAGTATCTGTTCAACAAATTTTTGTCTCATTTAAATATTTCCAAAGGTCATTTGTAATTAATTTCATGGTCCTGATATTAGCTATCAAATTTGACATTTGAAATGATGAATATTGGTCATACCTGTAAACAGGTGATAATCTTTATATGCTTTCTGTCTTAATATGCTATACTGGAATTTTGATGCATCAATCAACTTATATTTACCTTCTGCATGAAACAGTTATCAAAAAGACAATTAAAGCAATAATTTCAAATAGGAGAATGCTGTTAATATATTCATTGTGATGCAATTTCTTGATCAATTTATGTAATTTAAAGTAATGTACAAAAATGTTAAAAGGATCATCCACTGGTTTCACCTTATATTCAGGATTCGGTTGCACGAACGTTAGTTAAATTAACTTCGAGTTAATGCCGTAACTAGCTGTTAAATTTAACTCAGATTTAATTCATGTTTTATAGTTAAATCTCTGTTAAAATCGTTTGACGCGTGCACTTCCCTTACTTATGGTGAAAAGATTACTGACGTCATAATTAAAATGATGTCAACTTTTAAATGTGAATTTGCTAAGGAAAATTTACTTGATATATGTTATCCTTTTATCAGATATTGCTTAATACATTATTAAAAGTAGTTTCTTCTAGCATGAATTTAATATTGAAATATCAATTCACACGCAATATAAACAATACAGTTACAATGAATACCTGTACATGTAGTTTTTTTGTATTTAATAATAACACGCGGTGTTAAATTTTAAACCTAAAATAAAAAAAATAAATAAATAAATAATACGCTAAAAGGGGGGAGAGGAACACCCCCCCCCCTTCTTCATGTTTTTGTGCCTGGGGTTTATTGAAAAACGTTTTTATCAACTTACATGTACATGTATATGTCGCAATATATTGACACAGCCCTAATAAATCAATCGTGCTTAAACTGAAATCAGGATTAAATGTGTGTTTTGCTCATGTCTAACATTTATTTTATCTCTGTGTAAGTGCGTCCTTCACCGCAAACAAGTTTTGAAAGGAGAACAATTCCACAATTTTTATTTTAAAGTTTAATTAAATATTTAATGTACCTAGGTAACCTAAGTTAAATCTGTTAGTTAAATCACAAAATTAACTAAGGTTTAGCCGATAATTTACTTTCGTGCAACCATTTAACTCGCCGTTAAATTTAACGTGGCGTTAAAGTAAAATTAACAGCTAGTTAAATTTAACTAACATTCGTGCAACCGAATCCAGAACATTTCTATACCTTGTTTTGTCTCCTCGCAACATAACTGCCAGACTATTGGATGACACCGCAGGAAGAAGAGATACTCGTGTATACAATGTTGTTTTTCTCTATGTCATTTTACAAGTAGAATTTTTTAAAAAATCTTTAATTATTTGAATGCATGAAAAAAATATTTAACGGGACGTGTTAAACATTCTAAATCACATTAGTTGACACAACCATTTGTTTTCAATATGTGTGTAAACATCTTGTATGCACCCCCAGGAAGTGGTCTCCCAAGTTCCTGTCTAAAATCTTACCTAAAGCACATTAAAACGTTCGAAATACAACCCCCCCCCAATGGAAAAATAGAAAGCATAAAATTTCTCACAACAAAAATTCTAAATTTTATGTATGAAAATACCTAAAGACTGAGACTAAAATGTAGTTCTGTAAAGAACTTTTTTTCTTTATATTCTCTATAACTCTGTTATTGATATTTTTTAATGCAGGCAATTTTAAAAGAATATAAGTATTAAATCTTTTTAAGATATTACAATTGGCTTTAGTTTTAGTCTCAACAAGGCAAACAAACATTTTAAAGTTGTCCCGGTAATGGTCTTGGTAATGTCGCAGAATACGGTAAATAAAGTCATACATACAATGAACTATACCTAATGGTCTGCAAGGTACTTATCTTTAATCTTATAAAAAATGTTTTATTAAAAAAAAAATTGAGTATATCGAGATAACAACGTTTTCCCCTTTTCTTACACCACAATTCAGTTTCTTTAAAGAATGATATTCTTTCTTTGGTTGTTAGTATGGAAAAGAATGTTGCATTTGTTGCATAAAAATATATAACCTGCGTAAAATATGGATTCTAAAATACTGTACCATTTTGAAATTAATGTTTTTAAGCTTTTTATTCTGTATACTTTTTAAAACAATATATAGAATTGCTTTTGTCTCGCTTATCAGCACCTGTAGGTAAAATAACTTTTTTAAAACAATTAAGAATTGAAGCATATCTATATTGAAGCATCATGACCACTTCAGGGCATTGTAGCAATGTGTATGTAAACTTTTGCAATTTTCATGAAACAGTATTAATATTAATATTACTTATATCATCAAGAGAGATATGTTATAGATGTCGTTACCAAACTTTAGAAAGTGCTTGTCTCAATGAATACCCCCCCCCCCTCCCCCCGTTTTCCTGTGAAACAGGAAACACCTATCATCAACCGTTCAAATGTTATACTTTGCAAAAATGGACTCTAAGATCAAGAATAAGATGTCAAATATGATCGTACCCAAAACGATCTTATCACAAGAATAACATACGTAAAATATAGAGGTTATAGCCATTCAAAAGTTATGAGCAGGGTTAAGATTAATGTGGACAAACAAGTTGACAGAAGGATGGACAGAGCAAAATTTATATGCCCGAATCCTTGATAACGGAAGCATAAAAAACACTTATTTTGAAACACAGAAAAAACAAGGTTATAGAATAGAACGAATCTTTACATGAAATTATTGCGTAATTGTGCATTGAAGTGATTATTTAAAAAAACTAGACGTACATTTCTTACGCGTGTTTAAGAACCCTGTCGAGAAATGGATTAGTTTTCTGGAATATATTGATACAGAAGGCAACCGTGTTATAAAAAAAATCGTACACATCAGAATCTCATAATTCAAACCAATTCTGAAATCTAGTTGTTTGCGAGAACAATTAACTAACATAATTATGATATATACATGTTATATTTAAAAAAAAAAACAAAAAAACTCACCAATGGTTTATCAAAATTCCAAACTGTCTTTCCACTAAAAATCACTTTTCAAAAAGAGTGAATACTATATATTTTAAAAAAATTTTATTGAGTTACCCAGCGTCCTCTCTGGAAATTGCATTATATTTTAAAAATGTGTTATCATTTCCCTTTTAGCAGCCCGATTCAAAGTACAAGTATCAATCGTCAAATAATGAATAAAAGAGAAAATTTCAAGTAAAATACATCTTTGTTTATATAAACAAAATATTATTAGTACCCCCATCCCCCGCACTATGTAAATACAAATTAATTTAGTACATGTATATAACGCTTAGTTATTAATTTATCGGTCGAGGAATTTATTTTACAGTTTTCTAACATTTTCAACCTTACCCTATAATGAATATGTGAATTCTATTGATCTTTGAAAAGGTCATTGATATGTAGTTCAAGTTGTTTTTTCTATCCTTAATACAGTGAAATAGCATTCGAGCATTTTGCAAAGAACTGGTCTTTAATGTCCTTTTGTTGATGTATTGGCATGAATTTATACATTCGTAATAAAGGCCATTACATGTCATTTACTTAATAATATAGTGGTATATGACATAATCGTGTTATTCTATGTTTTAAGACAAAAATCAACTTCAGAAAATTGATAAAATCTCAAAATGCAATTTACGCCATTTTTAGCTCACCTGAGCCGAAGGCTCAAGTGAGCTTTTCTGATCACATTTTGTCCGTCGTCCGTCCGTCTGTCCGTCTGTCTGTCTGTCTGTCTGTCTGTCTGTCTGTCTGTCTGTCTGTAAACTTTTCACATTTTCGACTTCTTCTCAAGAACCACTGGGCCAATTTTGACCAAACTTGGTACAAAGCATCCTTGGGTGAAGGGAAATTTAAATTGTTAAAATGAAGGGACAAGTCCCTTTACAAGGGGAGATAATCAAGAAAAGACAAAAATAGGGTGGGGTCATTAAAAAATCTTCTTCTCAAGAACCACTGGGCCAATAAGGCTGAAACTTATGTGGAGGCACCCTGGGATAGTGTAGATTCTAAATTGTTCAATTCATGACCCCCGGGGGTTGGGCGGGGCCACAATGGGGAATCAAAGTTTTACATAGAAATATATAGGAAAAATCTTTAAAAATCTTCTTCTCAAGAACCACTGGGCCAGAAAAGCTGAAACTGATGTGGAAGCACCCTGGGGTAGTGTAGATTCTAAATTGTTCAAATCATGACCCCCGGGGGTAGGGCGTGGCCACAATTGGGAATCAAAGTTTTACATAGAAATATATAGGAAAAATTTTTGAAAATCTTCTTCTCAAGAACCACTGGGCCAGAAAAGCTGAAACTCATGTGGAAGCATTGTGGGGTAGTGTAGATTCTAAATTGTTCAAATCATGACCCCCGGGGGTTGGGCGGGGCCACAATGGTGAATCAAAGTTTTACATAGAAATATATAGGAAAAATCTTTGAAAATCTTCTTCTCAAGAACCACTGGGCCAATAAGGCTGAAGCTGATGTGGAAGTACCCTGGGGTAGTGTAGATTCTAAATTGTTCAAATCATGACCCCCGGGGGTAGGGCGGGGCCACAATGGGGCATCAAAGTTTTACATAGAAATATATAGGAAAAATCTTTAAAAATCTTCTTCTCAAGAGCAACTGGGCCAGAAAAGCTGAAACTCATGTGGAAGCACCCTGGGGTACTATAGATTCTAAATTGTTCAAATCATGACCCCCGAGGGTAGGGCGGGGCCACAATGGGGAATAAAAGTTTTACATAGAAATATATAGGAAAAATCTTTGAAAATCTTCTTTTCAAGAACCACTGGGCCAGAAAAACTGAAACTCATGCGGAAGCATTGTTGGGTAGTGTAGATTCTAAGTTATTCAAATCATGATCCCCGGGGGTTGGGTGTGGCCACAATGGGGAATCA